TATTTTTTTACATTTTTCTATTGGTTAGTCAGTTCAGCAATTGTGGATGATGATCTTATAAATCCACAAGCATCTGGAGATGATGCACTGCCCATCCCAGTATACTGTGCCCTAGGAATGATTGAAGATTAAAATATATGGCCCAGAGTTTAGCTTTAGTGGACGCTGCTCTGAAGTGAATCTCCCATAAGAAACTCTTTTGTTTATGTTGCATTGCCCTTGAAATGTACCTAAAAATACAGTTCTATACATAAGTGATAGAGAAGATTTTGAACATACCCTGATTTCATTTGCATGTAATTTTGATTTATTATTTTTTTTCAAAGTCTGGGCTTATTAATGTCAGCTATATATCTGAATTGTTTCATTGTCTTTATATCAAATGGTAATTGCAAACTGGTAATGTATCAGCCTTATGAACTATACCGTGATTCTTTGCTCACAGAAAATACTTCAAATTAATCCCTTAATAACAGTAATTAGGACCAGAATTTCCATTGCTAAGCGATGCAGTTGTCAGGACAGTAATTCCCGCAGTCAACATTGTTGTCCTTAAGTGAGGATTATGGATTGTTAAGTGAGGACCTCCTTGAAACTTTCTGCTCTTCTTCCAAGAACAACCAGCCAGATGTGCACAGCTGAATGCGGGAAGAGGGTGCTGCAGGTAGGCATGCACATTGAAGTATGAGGCCAGGCTTCTCAGGAAAAAAAGTGATAGGAGTGGGGATGACTTAAAGGACCGACTTCTGACTTCTCTTGCTGGTTTCTATGTTGACTTTGCTTCTGAAAAGACAGCAGGGAAGGTTGGGGAATCACATGACCATAGTCCCTGGAACTGTCATAAGTGTGAACCAGTTGCCAAGTGCCCAGATCATGATCACATGACCACAGGGGTACTGAAACAGCTGAACTTTGAGAATCATAAGTAACACTTGCTCAGAGCCACTGTCACTTCAAACCATCATTAACCAAGGACTATCTGTAATTCATAGCCCAGAATAAATTCAACCAGAAGGATAACAAGTGAAGTAAAGTTACCTCCCCCCAAATAAAACATGATGTTTATATTCTGAACTTTGTCTTTTTATTTGGTTTGAAAAGCAAAAGCAAAAGCTAGTTGCATGTAGCAGAACAAATATGCACCTAAACATGTCTCATTCAGAAAGCAAGTACTGCTTGTACAGAAGAACCATAGAAATTCAAATTCATTAATTCAGAGATACTCACTTGCTTCAATGCATGCATCATTTTTCATTATAAGAGGGTATTGCTACCAAACAGTTTATGTTGTGAACTGTAATGGTACTGATCGCTAATTGAACAATTCCTGGATTTAGTCATCCATCCTGCAAACCAAGAGCAGGAAAGATCCTGGCCTATTTATTTGAAAAGATATAAGATACTGGCATTAGATTTTTGATCGGGAACATGTAAAGTTGCTGCTAATTTCAACAGATGTGAGATATTGAGGGGAAGCTGGAAAAAAATTGGAAGAGCAGACATAAACAATCAGTAAATCAATTGCCAACCTCCCACCACTATCTAGAAACCTAAATCTTTAACTTCCCCCATCCCATCTTCAGCCACTGACTTTCCAAAACATTAGAAATTTTGACCCTCTAGAACCAGGGTGTCAAACTGTCGGTGTCAACGCTGCTAACATTGGATGTTCCCACTCTGACAACTGATGAAAATGCAGCCATTTTCTCTTCTCCTTTAACATGCTTTCTTGCTTTTAGGAATTAGGTGCAGCGGGGGGGGGGGGGGTTGAAAACTCAGCTAGCCATAATAATAATGCTGCCGTGGGAACCCAAGGACAAGCTGATAACATTTTGGCAGGCTGAGAAATTGAGGAAAAAGCCTGCACTTTAAGCTAATTGCAGAATGTGCTTTGTGACAGTTTATTGGGGGTGGGAATTGCACTTTGCTACTTTGTATCTGGGGGAAGAGAATTTAGTTTTTGGGTTCAACTATGTAGTGCCAATACTTTGTTTCCCGAATAAAATGTTCTTTAAGGAAGAATCTTGCCTCAAAGTTCTTTGATGGGTTTCATCTATCAGAACCATGACAGCTGGCCCATGGGCCGGATGTGTCATGGTGAAACCATGCCCACCACATTGCCAGTAATGGAAAAAAAGTCGTGATATGTCATGACACGTCACGTGACATTGCGAGTTTGACATCCCTGCTTTAGAGAATTTGAGACTACAGCAACAATAGTATCCATATGTCTAGACTGGGTTGAGGAGACATAGTTCTTTGCTCTTTTCTACAATATTCATATATTGTAGACATATTAATGTGTCACTTTTCTAAGACCAAGATACAACCCTGTCCATTTTTTATTTAATGATTTCTGGTGGCCTCACATGCAGATGGATTCTTAGGGCTGTATTTCTTTTTATCATGCCTATTGTCAAGGCATTGTGGTAAAACAGATTGAGCCCCTTCCATCTTAGGCTGGACCTTGAGATAAAATCTTATGGGATTTTATTACTCATCTGTCTGACTTGATCTCTTTACTAAGATGGATCAATTACTACCTATATGTGACTACTCTCTGCACGAGAAGCTGTCAAGCTCTTTTTAGTCAATGTCTTTCATTATAGGTATCTGATCAATCATATGATCTTGGATCATTGAGCCCAATTTATATTCCTTTTCTGGAAATCTTTCTTCTAGTTTTTTCATATGCAAATTCATTTATCATCCACAATCCCCTGAAGACATAGAGGGAGACAGAGAAAACCAACACAACCCTTTACCAATATTTATACTGCTGTGTCTTGTATCAACAGGTCAATTGGCTGGACTTTGTGCCCAGAATTTGCTTATAACTACCCTTTGCATGCCACAACTTATCCAGATGTTTTATAGCTGTTATTCATACCATTGATCTTCCAGATCCACCTTCCTAGAGGAACAGCAAGCAGCACAACTTCCTCTCAAGGAACAGCTGGACCTTGCCACAATGGCTCATAGATATATGACAGATGGCCATAGAAAAGAGTGCTTAAGTATTGCTATGTCGCTTCAACTAAGTTTTTTGCCATCTTCTTGCCCTTCAAGGAAGTTAGATTCAAAATTTATCAACCTGTTATCTTTATCCACACCAATTAGATGTCACCTTTTGTTTACGAGTGCCAACTTCAGTGAAGATCAATTTGGCCTTCCATTGATTTCTATTCTTTATTAACTATAGTTTATTAAAATAATGTTGCTCTGTAATACCACCCTCATTCCTTCCCCTTTTTTCCTGGCAGGAAGAATTTAAAGTAGAGTGTAATTTAGATTTTAAATAATGATGGGCCAATTTGGAATACTTAATTCAGTAGATTTATCCTGATAGATCTTGGGAAATTGCAACTAATATTCATGCATCCCGACCTGTGCATCTGTAGTAACCCTGTAAATGGAAACCCTTCAAACTGTCTTCATCTGGTTAATGGTTATTGATTCAGACTGAAATATAGTCCTTGTTCTTGTCCCTACTTCCATCTTAGTCTTCTTTCTTAGGCTAAAACATGGCTTTACAAGAGTCAGGCAGTCATGCCTGCTTTTTCTGTATCTTCCCAGTGGAATTTGGATTGAAAAGTCATCTACCTCCTCTCTGGATAAGAAATAGTTGACAGAATCTTCTTTTTCATCCCCTAGTTAACAGGGGTGGGGAACAAGAGAAGGGAGTTGTGTGAGAGTTTCTGGACAAGCCAGGACAGGAATGGAAGAGAAACTACACTTAAGCAATCTAAAGAAAATGGACAAATCAAATGACAGGTTACCTCAACGTAACTTAGCCCACATGGAGATAAACTTGTGAAGCAGTGTTACAGATTATTTAGAAACTCTGCTTTATGAATTTACTATTAATGAGGGCTTATGGATTTATTGTAAACGGGGATGGGAAATCCCTCTCACAGTTTCTAGGATTCTGTATTTGCTCCTAACTAGTTTAAAGAGATCATTCTGATAGTTTTTGCTTCCTTGATCTTAATCAGCTGTGTAAAGATTGAGAAGGCTAGGCTATCTTGGTAATGCCAAAATCAGGCAGTGGAAGCAGTCTCCATTTTTCACTATAAAATGTCCAGTAGGATAGTTTATATGCCGGTGAATCATGGCCCTACTTTTTCAATCAGTATGTCATTATTTCCTCATTTAAAGAAGTTATTACATAGTTATATACTTATTTGCAATAAATATGTGTCAGCATCATACTACATTTTGAACACAAGCATTTTAAAGATACATTAAAGAAAAAAGATATTAGGATTTAAAACAAATATTTTGGCTAACCCATATGAATTTTTTCCTTCAGTTTTGATGATTTTCATTTTGTTTCCAATGGAGAGTCAATCTGCAAGTAGCAGGGAAATTCTCTTGGACTATGACATAATGGAGTAACATTTGGTAACCATGTCCATGCCACAATTATATCTCTTAGGTTTGAATATCACTTTGTGTTTTTAAAGATGCACTTAAAAATTGCCAATCTGAGGCAAATCTCTTATATCCTGATAGCAGTTAGCAATTTATGTTGGCAAGTAGTCTAATTGACTTCATTTTTTAAGAAAAAAAAAGTGAAAAAAGGTGGTATAGGAAAAAAAGTAACTCGAAATGTACATGAAATGACAACAAAACAATGTAGTAGTAACCTTCAACATTCAATTAAATCTCTTTTATCCTTCTATCTGTTTAGATTTTCTTACCAATACCGGGCAAATCACTATAGACTATGCCTCAGACCAAACTTCAAAATGTAATTTGCCATCACATGGAAGCAAATCTATCCCTTAAAAGGAGTTGGTCATATTGTATAGTGCTGTACTTTTCCAGGCATTTTGTTGAGCAGCTGAAAAGAAGCCATGGAAAATTTTACCAAATAGTTATAAAACTGATCTAGGCATTTCCTCCCTGCTGGGTTAGGAAGAGGGTCAGAAAGTGCATTTTCTTATGGGAAGTGATGCCCACCTTATTAATTTATTTTTCTTGTGCTCCTATTGTAGGGCAACCCTCTGTACTTCCAGTCTGCTCAAAATGTTACAGTGAACATTCTCAATGAGGAGAGTAAAGTTCTTACACGTCTGGTAACAGGTAAGGCAAGGGAAATATCTGAGGAAGAGAAAAGGGGAACCAAAAGAGCATGATGATGTGGGCATTAGCCCTTGGAATAATCATCAGTAACATACCTCTATCAATACAAGCCATGACCCCAGCTTGCCCTTGCATTACTGAAGAAAGAAAAACCCTGCATGTGAACTAAAGAAGCAGGCATGTTCAGGACACAGAGAATTCCCAGATCTAGAAACTAATGCTCCCTTATTCGAGCAGGACTTCAGAATAGAATTCTCATTTCTGATTCCATTATAAATATTAATTAGTGAAGTGCCAGCTGTCTCAAGGATTTGAAACAGGCAGAAGACGATCCCTGAGTACTTTACATGTACCTGAAACAACTGGAACTTTCCTGATTAATATTCATAGCACAGAAGTCCTCCCGTGTTTAAACGATTTCTAAAAATCTTTTAAAATCCCTCGTGCGGATGAGTACCATTTAGGTTCACAAAATGCTACACTCAGTGTTTGACAGGGAAGTGGATGCTTCTGAAATTTCCCAGCAGACCTGTCACTTCTAAGCATGGCTAAGCTTTTATAGTAGAAGCAACAGCACTAAAGAATACAGCCCAGGATTGGGGGATGAGAACCATGCAACCACATATCATTCATTCTAGGTGAAATTGTTTTGTCTTCCAGAAAGCAGGTAAGTAATTCAATAAAGAGCCTTGGTCAGCACTTGCTTTGGTTATATGGTTGGTGACTCATCTGCTGTTGGCAGGCAAAACATGAAGAATTGCAGCAACAGCTGAATAATAGAAAATAATAAAAGGAATCACAAACACCACGGAAATATTGCTAATAGAAGACTTGTGCCATCTGCCAAAACTTCTGGAGTGTGAGATGTTCTCAAAAACGCAACTTTGCCTTTGAGAGTCATGAAAGGACATATTTAATCAAGAAAGGCAAAACAGGAAGCCACATCCAGTGTATTTGCATGCATATTTTGTAGCTATGCAATCATTCTTCAGCATAGTTGTTTTTAAAAATAAATGCATTCCAGTTTTGTAAATAAGAAAAAAAAATGTAAATAATGTAAGCATCCCCAATAGGAAGAAATTTGTATTTTGTTACTCTTTGTTTCTATCTCCTCAAAGATGGATGAGTTTGGTGGGGTCACACAGGGGACTTTGCCCAGTGTTTTCATAGCCAGACTCTTCTATTGTACTGGAGGACCCCCTCCCCGAAACACAATAGCTTTGTTTTGAGCTTTAGAAGCAGAAGTTCTCATTTTTCCATGCAACAGCTTCAAAGAAGAATTTCATCTGAAGTACTGACAAAACTCATTATCTTTTTCCAGCTTGGTACAGCCCTGTAACTATGTGCTCTGTGGGTTTTGTTAGATTTCAGTAGTTTGCTTTAAATGTTCCAATTTGAGATTCTGCATCTTGAAAAAAATAGAGATTGACGGGAATCAATAGTGTAGATATTTTATAAATCTGAAAACTTCAGGTATTTTCTGTTACATGGGGGAAAGGGTTTTGTTATAATTCCTTTAGATAAATTATAGACTGATATGAAAAAACATATATTTGAGTTTGTTAAACAGAATCAAGAATATTTATTTTAAGACAATTCTATGCCTGCCCATTAAAAACAATGCTAACTTAGAACTAAGTACAGCAATTTAAGTAAGACTAAAATTAAAGAGCTTTGCGGAGTAGTCATAGGAAAATAATTATATAATGGTGTCCATCTCTGTGGAGTGTAACGTTGGTTTGCACTGGGCTGTAAGTGGAAATTTTAAAAAGGATCATTTCTGAATTGACTCATTTCATTCTGTACCCTTCCTTTCTACCCATAGGATTTTCAAAGTAGCTAACAAGAAACAAGAAAATATAACCTAAAACTATTAGTATACCATTTTTAAAAATTACATGACTAATACTTTAAAAAGTTATCAACCAAAGCTAAAAGGCCAAGATAATTAAAAGATCAGAGATTTCTTTGGCAAAGGGTCAGGGTTAGAAGTGACACCATCACAAATAAAGAAAGCAGGAAGAACACCAAATGTATCCATGAGATTAGTCAATCCTATCATTTTTTTAACCCTTCTAATCAGTGTAATTATTTAGTTAACACTAATTAGTGTTAACCCTTTTAATCAAGCTAACCTAACAAGTGCATGAAAATATACAGAGTCCCTCCTCCTTCAGGCCACCAATTCTATTTAATGGAATACCAAATCTACAATATCCTTCTTTCGTTGATACACTTGAGATTTTTTGAGACAGATCCTTGCTTGCCAAAGTGGATGTGTGACCATCTTTCTCAGGAAAGAAGCTTAGTGCAGTCCAGTGTTGATATCAAGTTCATTTTAGATTGTCAACTAAGGCAGCAGTCCCTTTTTGGCATCAAGGAGGGGTTTCATGGAAGATAATTTTTCCATGGACTAGAGAGAGATGGTTCCAGTTTTGCTCTCTCACCCACTGCTCATCTCCAGCTTTGCAGCCCAGTTCCTAACAGAGTCCATGGCCCGGGAGGAGGGGGAAGCCCTGGACTAAGGGATCTGCAAGGGAAGGCTTGTTCAGAATCTCTACCTTTGTACCATTCAACTACTATAACCTGCCATGAAAGTGAGCAAACTATTAGCTAGTGCTTTGAACCATTAGGCCAGTCTGTCCTCACCTTTTAGACTTAGCTGCCTATTGTAAGAGATTTGATACAGTAGATGCTGTTGTGAAAGGACATACCAAAATATAAGCAGACAAAAATACGCACATGCAACACACACTCAGTGTTCTTAATATAATGCATAGCCAAGTTATTGCTGCTTGCTAGCAAATACTCATTTTATTTGAAGTAAAAGCTAGATTTATTAAGAAATAGACAGGATTGGAAAGCCCTGCTTCTGTCTAAGTTATATCTTGAAGAGAAAGATAAGAGGGAAGAAATTATCTTTATTTCTTAAACGTATAGACTCACTTAACTATAGGACAGGTAAAAGATGGGCACAGGGACAGTGTAAAAAATCTTCCCCTTATCAATAGACAAAGGCTCATACATGCAAAAAGACAAATATAGTCTTCAATAACTCTAGCACAGAGTAACCTAGCAGAAATTAATTCCTATCTCTTCCCTGAGAAGGATGGTCACATCCACTCTGAGAAGCAAGGATTTTTTTAAAAAAAATTCAAGTGTATCAATGAAAGAAGCATCTCTTCCATCAGAAAAGAAGTGATTAGTCTACTTATTTACATGTGCCTATGCAAATTTAAACATTCATTTAACAAAGTTTTCATAATAATATCTTTAGCTCTTAATTCTTGTTGCCTTTGTGAAAGGCAGTTACCTTTCAACCCTGTCACATTTGATTTGAATAGTATGTAATAATATTCAGCATTGTGGTACTATAGTACAGTACTATATAATCATATTAAGATTTTGAATGTGAGTTATTTAATTATTTCCTAGCCTTGATCTTTGACTTTAACTTGTAAAAATCAGTTCACAAATTATCCTGCAAGTGATGAACCACACAGAGTCTGTGATTACAGATTACTTTAAAAATTATAATAATAACGGTAATATAATATACTATAATAATGTCCTAACCTTGCTCTTTTGGGAAATAATGGGATAGCAATGTTAACTGGAATATGTGTCAGTGAGGTATATTTGCAACAATAGTTCAGTACATACTGTGGATTCCATTTTATTGAAGTAATGCCAAAATTAATCTAATTTCACTGTGGTAATCCAACACAAAATATATTAAAAGGATAAAAATACATTCATCTTTGGAAGTGCAAAATGCTAACCAAGTAATTATCAATGTTAATATAATTCAACTGTACTAAAAGAATTTAATTGAAAACTATATTTAGAATAGAAGTAACTTTTCCCTCACTCCTAAATCTGTGTAGGTGGACCATGTTGTTGTGCTTGAATGAATTTGTTTCCTAATTTATTCCTTGAACTACACAGCTATGTTTTGTGTCAAATACCTTGTACTCCTTATGTACTTCATTCATACTTCATTATAACTCAGCCTCCTTACATATTAATTGTTGACCAGAATTGTTGATATAAAGCCAGTGGTAGGATTCAGCCAGTTTGCACCAGTATGGCAGAACCGGTAGCTAATTTTTTGTTGCCCAGGCCCAGAATGGACTTCCAGAAGCAGCATCCACACAGAGAACCGGATGTTCACATATTTGAATCCCACCACTGTATAGGGCATATCTGTAGAAGGAGAAGCCTAACTTATGATCTGGATATTGTTACAGATCAATTTTTGCAAAATGTATTCAAAGAAAGGCATGCATTATAGCATGTTTAAATATGATTTTCCTCCTGATTAAAGGGCAGCAGTAGAACCTTAACAGGTATAGAAGTGATGCCCAACCTTATGTTGAATGAAGAGCAGCCTATGTTTTTTAGAAAATGGGAGCAGTCAGAAATTGTGTCAAAGAAATGGAGATTTGTGGAGAAGGGGTTTATTCAAAATAGATTTATTAGAAATATAGGAGGCTTTTTTGAGGCTTAGTTTTCTGTTAGGAGAAAAAAATAAACTGCTGTTGAAAATCATCCTTTTTGCTGTATTTCAAACCTTTATAGGACATATTTTTCTTTTCTTCAATATAAATTGAGCTCAGGCTAAATGACATTTTCTATAATGTTGAAAGAAAAATGAAAATATTTAAAATGTTCTGGTCAATTAAGTTTGGCTAAAATTTATTTGGCTAAAATGGTTGATGTTGAGAGAACTAGATGATAGATAGATAGATAGATAGATAGATAGATAGATAGATAGATAGATAGATAGATAGATAAACTTTCTTAAATAGAGCTCTGTTCAATATTTTCTCTTACTCAGAAATAAGGAAAAGAAATTACTTTAGCCAATTCCCACTGGAGCAACTCACACTCACTGAATGTGTTCTGTCACTGATTGATAAATTCATCAAATATGTTATGGAAGGTAATTCTGGGGATTGCAAAATGAATCTTCCTACCAATGGCATTCAGTAACAAGAGAATTTGTGCCTCTTATTAAATATTTACTTTAGTTAAGTGCATGAAATAGTTTACCTAAATCCAGTGAGAGAGGTACAGACAAGACATTTAAAATATCAGTGATAAATTCAGTTTTCTATATGGTAAGCCCTTGTTATGAAATGTATCGCAAGCTTCCTCTTTATAACCGAGTATGAATAGACTAAAACCATGTTTATTTATTCAACTTATTTTTTATTTCTTGTTTTTATTTATCTACGATTGTTTTCATGTTTTTGTAAGTCTCCTAGAGATGTGCAGGGGTGGATGGCATACGAGTATTGTAATAATTACACATATACTTTTCACCCTGAGTTTCTAAATGAGAATTTTATGCAAAGGAGATACAAGTTCTAGTCTTAATGGTATTGTCAGAGGTGAGCCATGTTACTCTATGGCATCTATAATATGCTGCAAAAATACAATACAAAAATAGATTCCAGGGTACTCAGTCAGTCTTTTTCAGATTATCTCTACGAGACATTTTTTCTTTTATGAGATACAGGGGAACCAGTGCTTCATTTACCAGAAATGTTGAAGCTCCTGATTTATAATTTCATGGATTTTTAGTTTGTAATGACAACTTGATAACATTTTTTGACAGTGTTCAAGTCAGTAACAAACAACAAAGTACTGATTTTTTTAAAGAATACAAATGCAAAATACATGCTTAACTAATTTAAAGTAACATACTGTAAATATAATAGAATATAGGTAGGCATGTTTATCAGTATTTCAAGGAACATAATTTATTCAGGTTTATTAGCATAACTTATTCAATGAAGCTCTGTTCATTATTCTCAATAAAGATTAGTTATGTATAATTTCCAGGTTTAGTTTAGTCATATAGACACTAAATTCTTTCTTTTCTTTAGGTCCCAAAGCAGTGGAAGCCTACAGCCAAAAATTTCAAGTGCTAACCACTTCAGGGAAATTATTATTTTCTGCAGATGATAATGAAGTGGTCGTTGGAGCAGAAAGGCTGAAAGTTTTAGGTAAACAATATTCATTTAAGCTTCTCTTATTATCAGCATATTGATTACTTTCAAAATAGTTTATGTATATGTTCTCTTTTACAGTGATTATGAAAGAATTTTCTCTCATGGCTTCGATAAAAATTGATCAGATGATTTTGCGATTTCGTGACATGTTCAGCTTTCTTTATTAAAGACTTTTAGGATAAGGATATGGGGAAATCAGTCAGGGTGATCATAATCTTGTTCATGGCATATATTCCGAAACAGTATTATGAAAGACAAACGTCTTTGCTTCTGATCTTTTCGCAAGCTGATGTGTGCAAGTAAGCCATGCCATTCCATCTAAACCCATTTCTAAATGTTTTTTATCCTTAAAGCTTAAAAATGAAATGGCATTCTGTCTTCAGTAATGGAAGTAGCAATGCTGCACATTCCAATCCAATATTCTGTATTAAAGCCAGTTGGTTTTGCCAGCATGTAAATTGCTTTAGAAGCTTGCAATTTATTTCATCTAGGTACACATCTAAGACTATTTAAATCACTTAAAATAATTTGGTTGTTCTGCTAAATCTTGGGGCAAAATGGTAGTTAAGCCCCTGTAGGCTGTTTTATTATTATTTAGAGTCTGTTTCTTAAATGCTTATGTTAAGCCCATTTCCATTTGTGATCCCCAAACCATAGTACTTTCTCACTTAGGCAGTAGAAAATAGCATCAACGGTTGCCATTAGGTGATAAAATAGAATTCTGTTTTATATAAATAGATGTCTGGTTATGAAATGGAATTTCCATTGTTTTTCTTCTTATCTATGTCTGCACATTCTTAAAATCCACTCTGGAGAATTGGAAGCCTTCTGGGCGATATTTAAAAGTATGAAGTCAGCTGCAGAATTCCACTTTCATTCAATTCGATTTCCACTTCCCACTCACAAAGTAATATTTTCAGTTTCTTCCCCTAATGTTTATAATGCAGGTATATTAGCAATCATATTTTTATGCTTTCAAATACCTTTCACAAAAAAGCCCAATTATGCATACTTTTGAAACTTCCAGAATCTCTTGTGAAATAATACAAATTGACAACAGCAACAAATACTTGTTTATTCTACTTTTGGTAAAGATTTTAACAATATTTGCATCAGCTGGTTTCACTCATGCCCCATAAACCAATAATTAGTTCCAGAGGGGGAATTATTATTTTAAGTATCTTTTCTAAGAGTTTTGTATAGATGTATATTTATTATTAAAAAGATTTATATTTTATAAACTTCAAAAAGCCAATAATCCAGGTTTTTTTAATCTATAGTTTCAGTGATGTGGTACTTGGGTTTGCAGCAAAATGTCCTCAACTTTTCTTTTTCTCTCTTAAAAGAGAGATCAAAGGAAAATGAGACAATGACATCAAAGCTGAGTTTATAACAGTTTTAATGCCCCCCTTGATATGTGTTATACTTATTTCTTACGTTGATTATAATCTAATTAGCTTAGAGTGGCATATGTCTACTAATAAGTTATTTCAGCATTGACAAATTCCAGGTTCCTCTAGTATCTCTTTTCTGCATGATCAGTCTTCAGATACTCTTGTTATTCCCTCACATGTCCTTGTTACAAAAATAAATAAATAAAAAACTATAATCTGGCAGGAAAGTTGTTTTGGAGAGGTCAAAGCAGCAATGATTGGGTACATATTCTATTTTTAATCTGGCTAATGATAATTATTTCTTTTCCTTTGTACTTGTTCAAAGCTTGATCTGAAATTTACTCTTTAAAGCAGTTCTGGGGCCTTCAAGTAATAAAAGTAATAAGTCTCTTTTTTTATTTGAATTCTTCACATCTTTTCCAGCATTAAAACTGATAGTTAGATTTTTTTTAAAAAAAGAAGGCATTAACTTATATTTTGTTTTGCAAACTACAGCCATGGTGAGCATAGAATATATTACAGTCTGTCCTTTTCATGAAGAAGAGGAGTGAGAGAAACATTTAAAGAGTAATTTATTTTTATTGGCATACTTTAAGACACTTGTCAGGCTCAAATTATCCTACCGTGAATATATTACATGAAGATCCAACTCTGGGTAGAAAGTTCTAGGAAGGAAATAGAAGAAGAGGATGACCTGAAAGTTGGATGGACTTAGTTGTAGTAGCACTGTGTGCATCATTGGAAGAACTGAAGGACCAGATTAGGGACTGATCATCATGAAGAAAATCTATACATGACAATGACTTGGTGGTACATAATCATCATTATAATCATTGAAGCATTTGTACATATGTAGATTGGAAGCCTTTTCTTACTGTCAACCACTTAGGTAATTATGTACATGTAATCCAGCATCAGCAACTTTTTCAGGACTCAGATATTGTCATGCTCAGCCCCATGATGAAAATCTTGTGAGCTGAAAGGCATTTGTATTGATGTTTAAATTTTTCAAGACCTCATGTAGGAAATCAGAAATTTCATAAGATCTGCAGTTCTTGAAATATTCTTCTTTTACTATGTTTAATTTGTAACTAACTTTGATGTGATTCTGGCAATGTTTAAGATAAAGATGAATGTTCTGGTACTACAAGGACCAGCACATTATAAGCTAGCTTAATAGTTCTTGATTGTAGTTCCCAAAATTTTCAGCTGTTAAATTCCTCATTACCTATTTTAATTTTGGTGCTTTAGGCAAAGCATGTATTTTATGACCAAGTTATAGACCAGGGGTCTTCAAACTTGGCCCTTTTATGACTTGTGGACTTCAACTCCCAGAATTCCTCAGCCAGCATGCTATAGACTTTCCCAAACTGTTGTTGGTAATGGTGGGGCAGCTCCTTTATGAAAATAGATGTCTTTGAATATTTGCCAGCATTGCATAGAATTTGGACAGTGGACCAAAAGGCAAGATTTTGAAGAGATCTTATGCCCTTCTCAGGCCAGACTTCATCTGTTACATATCCATTAAGTTTATTGAAATATCTAATTAAAATAAAAATTTTGATCCAAAATTTTAACTTGCTATATATTTATAAAAAGGTAGTAGAAGTTGATTAATTGATCACATACTTTAAAAGGATTTTTATTTTAAATTCTTTAATAAATGTTTACTATAAATTATTTTGTCTCAATGCAAATTTAGTTGCGTTTTAGACATGTTTGGAGATTCAGCCACTGTGGTTTAAATCACTTTTATATCAATAAATCATTGGTCTCAAGGTAGAGAAATAAATGTCTGTTTAAGAAAGTAATTATTGATCTGTCATTTTCTCAAAGAAAGAGAGATAAATTTACAAAATTAAATCTTTTATTGAATTGTACAGAGAGGGTTTTTCAAATACATGCCTGAAATGTTTAGGAATATATTGCTTAACTGTTGATGTGTCATCAAGTCAGTATCAACTCATAGTAACCACATAGATGTTTAAGGATATAGATATTGTGCTGGTGTTTTCTGCCCCATTGGTTAAGGGTGCAATGGCAACTCTAAGCTGTAGAAAAGTTTTCATAACTCTGTGCAGGTATTCCTGAGCAAGTATGTAAAATGAAACCCAGAGTTTTTAGTGGTCACTTAATTATACTTGTAAATCATTTTGTTGGTGATGTTGTTTTAGGATTATCCACTTATTTCTTTAAAAAAGAAACTGATTTATTTCTTCTATTGAAGCAACAACAGTTGTAGCTAAGTTATATTTTAATAAGAAAACACTGAAAATTAGTTTTGATGTTCATTAATTTGTTACTTTAATGAAAATTAAATATTAGAGCACTTATAAATAAAGGGTAATCATAAAACATTATTCTGTTAATTAGTCCTTTTTATACTACAGATTTAAATATGCCTTCTACATGCCACTTGGTCACTCATTACTAGTGTCATATTATTATCACTGCACAAAAGCATTTTAATGAAAGATAAAAAAAACTCCTTCTAATTTAAATTACTTTAAGAAAAGAAACTGCAATCAAATTAGCCTATAGGACAACAATAACAACAACTGACATGCAGTAATCATTGATTTCAAGCATAATGACATTGGAACCCTGATGAGAAGAATAAATATGCACATTGAGAAAGGTTGAAGTTTGATTATTGTGATGTTTGTCCAATCTGGCGTAATAAATCTCATAGCTGAAGAATCTGGTGTTGCTTCTTACTGAACATCAATTCTATATTAAGCAAATCTCACTTCAAACAGTGAGACTTTATCTAGAACTAGTGCAGTAAAACCAAAATTTATTTGTTCCATCAATTATTTTCTGATCCATTGATCCTGAATGATTAATGCCTTGGAACTTTATAATGCCTTGATACGACCATACCTGGAATACTGCATCCAGTTTTGGTTGCCATGATGTAACAAAGATGTTGAGATACTAGAAAAAGTGCAGAGAAGACCAGCAAAGATGATTAGGGAACTAGAGGCTAAAACATATAAACAATGGTTGCTGGAATTGGATATGTCTAGTTTAATGAAAAGAAGGACTAGGGGTGACATGATAGCAGTGTTCCAATATCTCAGAGGTTGCCACAAAGAAGAGGAAGTCAAGCTATTCTCCAAAGCACCTGAAGGCAGGACATAAAGCAATGGATGGAAACTAGTCATGGAAAGAAACAACCTGGAACTGAGGAGAAATTTCCTGACAGTTAGAATAATTCATCAATGAAACAACCTGCCTCCAGAAGTTGTGAATGCTCCAATACTAGAAGTTTTTAAGAAGAGATTGGAAAATCATTTGTCTGAAATGGTAGAGGGTTTCCTGCCTGAGCAGGACTAGAAGACCACCAAGGTCACTTCCAAGTCTTTATTCTGTTATTTGTTTGTTGGTAGAAAGAAAAGTGGGATTCTGATATTTTTAAAGAGCTACACAATATCCAAACTGTTGTGAAATATGTTATTGACAGGCCATTGCCACTATGGTAAGCCCCAGGCCAAAAGGGCTATTAGCATTTTGGAAGTGAACTTGTAGTAGTTAGATTTTACATTGCCCTATTTAATATTCTATGGCAATAGAAGATTGTCCATCTTCCTAACCTTT